AATGGAATTTCTTTATCGCCCCCCAGAAGGGTGTACGAAAGCTGAGTCAGCCCACAACGGTCCTTCAGAAAAAGGAGCGGCTGTAAGTGGATTGCCCAAGCTTGATAGTAGGTCCCGTCCAGATTGTCCAAAACCTGCTACGTTGCGTTGTTTTGGCGGGCGGTTTACGCCTCCAGCATCTCGGAGTGACCATGGATCCGGGAATGAAGGGTGATGGTCCGCTGCACGACCACCTCCTTCTACAAAGCGCTACACAAATCAAATTTCTTGCCTTCACACTGCCCATCGAAGATCATACGAGCTATAGTCTAAACTCCTAGTATTCCCCTTAAGAATCCCTAGCCTAGAATACTCCCCCGTCTCATCCCTTATATATCCCCCTTTAAGGAGTTTTCCACTATAGAGCATATGATGAGCTGCAAATAGAGGCTGGGTCTGAGCATTGAGGTATCTGTTAGCCCCAGTGCATACGGCACGCACTCTAACTTCTATGCCATGCTGTCCTACATGTCGGTTCACACCGTCTGCCGGCACCTAAGCCGTAGAATCTATAGGGTCTAGCTTGGGCACTAATTACCCACACCAAATAGCGATTGTAATTACTAAGTGGGAGCAGTATCCAAGAGAGAGACCGAAGGCCGGAAGTTGAACTGCTAAAAGGAAACAATCTCTCAGGCCCCCGCCTTCGAAGGCGGCCTCAGCTTGCAAAGCCCATCTGAGCTACAGTCTAAATTCCGAGTATCCACCCTAATAAGGCTTATAGTAGTCCCCTTTATAAGTCCCTTTAAGGAATTTGAACTACAGCTCACCTAGTGTCACAACATTCTGTGCCTCTTCCTGAGTTGTCATCTGGAAGGGTCTGTAGCAGTAGCTTACTGGGGCTGAAGGTCTGGAGATGAGGGGAAGGTACCGACGAGCTCTGCTTTTGTTGTAATCGGCTCGGAAGCTTCAGAAGTTGGGATCGTCAGTATCAGTAAAACTGTAAGCATGCTGCAGCGGCGGCACCCTCGTTTTTGTCTTGGGATTTGCTTTGTTGCCCTCCGTGCTGCGGCCAATGGAGACCTTGCAATCTCTGGCAGGGGGCTGTCTCAGAATTATGTCCCCCAACAATTCCTCCTGACAGCCTTCTTGCACGGGCACGCAATTTTGGGACATCCCCACCTATGCTATATCCCTTGTACGTTTGTCATGCGGAAACCAATGTACAACTCATAGGCCATGCGTTGAGACCTATACAATCAACATATGAGACCCGGAAGGGAAATCTTTCAGGAATCCTTACGGTCGAGCTGGGTGTGACCCACGGCTGTGGCAGCACCGCCAGCGCCAAGAGACCAGGGTCCACTCCGCACCTTGGCATATGGGTTCCCTACGCTTCTTGCAAGGGTGTCAGAGAGTTCTGACTCCACAAATATCCTGTAACTTGTTTGGGGATTCCGCTGAACCTGTGAGCTTCTCATAGGTCAAGTGTCCAGGCTTTTCAGGCAAGCATCATCAAAGGCTTGCTCCAGACACAGGCCTTTCTTAGTTCGAGAGCAGGTCACAGACAACTTGAAGTTCGACAACTTATTGGGAAGTGTATGCAGATTGTGTAGGGTCTAGGGACAGTACCCTGAATCATGGTAAACAACATGGAACTACTCTAAGGTTTAGGGGACGAACCACACGGTCTGGTCCGGGCAAAGCTCTTTCCCCCTGCCTCCGCGGAACTTTCCCTTTGAAACCCCTTACGGGCCTGACTGTCACCCTAAGTGAACACCCCATAAAAACCATGACCAAAACCCCCCGCAATCAGCCTCAGGAGCCCTGATGTTTCGGATGCCTTAAACGAGACTTGAGGTAGGGCTTAGGGTTTAGGGTTAAAGGTAAAGGGTAAAGTCACAGACGCAACGCAATATGTTCTATACATTGAGCTTGCAGCATTTCGCTTGCAGCCTGCATCGCCTTTCATCTTGCTTCTTGCTAACAAAAGCATGAACGAATCAAACCTTGCAGTAGTCCCTACTTAACCCCGAAGAAGATCGGAGTTATCAGGTTTTTCTCCCCCCTGCGAACCAAAGGTAAGTGAGCTGGGAATACGACGTCCTCTGGCAGTTCCAAGATGCGTGCTATGCTAATCTTGCTGGTTTAGTAGGGAATGGAAAGTCTAATGGAAACTCAAATGAAAACAAGATAGAAACGGGGGAGGGCATAAGTGTATGCGCTTCTATATATGGGCGTAACTTGCTGGTTGCTACCAGGAAATGAAAGAGTGGAAAAGAAGATGGAAACCAGAGTCCTGCGTGTTGGAGATTAAATCGCGGCACTGTGGATCCACTCATCCACTCTATCCAAATAGCCAATAAGAGAACCCTGGTCTTTGCAGGCTTGCTGAGATCCACGCCGCTTTAACCCTGAACCTTCCTCCACATCATACTGCGGATGCGGGAATTCGAGGAATTCTTGCACCATTCAAGGTCACCAGCGTGCTTGAAAATTCCCTCTACTTGAGGTAAAAATAGGGTGATCTATCCACCGCACCCCCAAGTGGGCTCCGCACCCCCATCTGGCAGCTGGGTCCGGGCAGTGAACGCCTCTGCTTGGAGGGTCCGGGGGAATCAGTAAGTAGGTTAAGAATTGGTACAACCTGGGTTACTTTATGGCTTATGGGTTATGAACCTACTTACCAAATCCCTGACTCTCCAAGTAAGGTTTGTATTTCAGACTCCTTCAACTTCTCGCCGTTAGTAGGGAATTGAGAATGAAGGAATGGAATTTAATAGAGTACTGGGACTCCATTCCTCCGCTTCATACTAAGCACGAGTAACTCATATCTGCCAAAAGTGTGGTCTTCTTTGGGGTTTGCTAAGATTGAAGATGTCTGGAAATTCGATAGGGGGGTGTTCTCTGGGCAAATGTCCGTGTCAAGTGAGCCGAAGATTTAAATTTCAGTGCAAACGACAGAAATTTCCAGAAGACTCTGGAAAGAATGGATTTCACATGAGCAGATGCAAAGCTAAGATCTGTGGTGGTACTTTCCCCGTTTTGTCAGGCCCTGCGCTGCTGACCGCAGAAAACTTGGCAATTTGGTCTGTGCATGCTGCCAGCAACGTAGTCAACTGGTGCAGAAACGGCACCCTAAGCGTGAATGGTTTGCAATTTGTACAAGGTTAGTAGGTGAGGTTTGCACGGTTGGCGATAGCGACAGCAAGTCAAGATTTGTATTTGCTACCTTACTGGTGGTCGGTAGGGAATGCCTGGATGATCTTTTAAGGGTTCTTTGCATAGTGACTAGGAAACAAGTGGGAATCTCAGGACAGGGTACTCTTGGGGACCTTAGGGCATATGGCGCATGGCACAAGGGATTTTGAGGGCCCCCATCATGGACTGTCTAGGTGGAATTCTGGGAACCTCCTAAGTTCCTGTGGAATCCAAAAGTGCCTTCTGGTGGGACTGTGGCCCCATAAATGGCCAAAACTTTAGGTTTAGGGTTTAGAGTGCCGGGACAGATCCAGCAGACTGAAACCTTTTTTTGCCTCGGACGTAAGGATACAAGGCTTTTACCTACGGCTTGCCCAGCTTGATATCCTCACCCTTTTTGGAAAGCCCCGGCATGGGCTAAGCCTGGTAAGTTTCCGTTGGCTCCAAGGCATTCCTTTGTGCCTTGCTCAGCTTTTGGAGGAGAGTGCTGCTTTCTGCAGATCAACTCGTGCAGTCATCACCTTTGCTGATCTATGAGGCATGTCCTAAGAGGGTAGCATAAAGCAAAGGAGGTGCAAACATGAACAAGCACCATCTCTTCAAATGATAGGCCCATGCAAATATCAGTCGTAATGTACAGGAGCCCGCAAACAGGACAGGGCCGTGTGCTTGTCATGCTGAATCTCAAATGCCTGAAATGGTAGTTTCCCAAAATAGGGGTACCCCAAGATAGACCCAAAAATACCATCCTCCCAATTTTGGGAAACGCCCAAACGGGACATCATAGTAAAGCAAGGCATAGCACCTTAGAATGTCTTAGAAGCTGGCCCAAGCCCGCTTCTGTGCCATGCTTGAAGGAGCTATAATGGGAACCCAAAACGATAGTAAGACTAGAGTACCAATATAAGGACCCTGTGATTCTATTCCTGTTATATTCCTACTATATTCTTGGGCTTCCAGGTTTTGGGGTTCCCAGTATGATGACTTTAATACTCCGTTTCGCAGCTCGGGTTGCCGTTGTCGTAGACAGTCCAGGGCTAGAAGTAGTTTGTCTATCACTTGAGTTTTTGGGAGTGAAGAACTTTTGCTGGAAACCCCCAGGTAGAGCTTGGGCTAAAAGAGGATCGGTGGAGGGGCATCCGGAGCTGTGCATGTCTGCTGGTGCAAGTGCGCGTTCCTGAGAAATTGCTTGAGGAGCTATGGTTCATTTCTTAAAATCGATCAGGCGAGCTGGAACTTGAATTGTCTTGATGTCCGTGCATCCAAGAACTACGCTTACAACCGCATGCCACCAAAATGCAGCACACAAAAGCAGATGCAAGGCCGCACATGCCAGCACATGCCAGCTTGGCGATGCATCTCTGTCTTGGATCAACTTTCCATATGACTGGCACGGCTTTTTGGGCCCTTGCAAGCTCCTGCTGCCAGACATCCTTGCCCATACTAGTCGGATTTTTTGAACTATGGATTTGGGACCTTGGGTTTTTGCAAGGATTTTAGAGCATTGACAGGGATTTAGCATGTTGCTGGGTGCAGGGCTTCCATATTACCTTTATGCCGTCGTATTCGAGTCCACTGGCCCGATGGTGGCCAGTCTCTCATAGACTTGCTCTATATCTACCATTCGTAGCAAATAAACAGCGGCCGTGGACATGAGGGAGCCAATGGCGGTGAACTGCGCAATGGTTAGTTCAATCCCAAGCGTTTTCACCACCAGGCCTGTGCTGCTTTCCAAGAAAAGAAGCTGAACCTGTGGACCTCGTGCATGCCTGAACTTAGCATGCAACAAAAAAACTCTGCTGACAATATGGTCCAGCAACCAGAATCCAGTCTCAATCGTTGGGCAATTGCCTCTGTGAAGTCGATGGCGTCTTGGGCGTCTCGCACTAGCTGCACCTTGCTGGGATCCTGCTTCAGTCGACACATATAAGCTCGCGACTCCGCAGCATGGCCCAGGAGGAGGTTAATGGTCTGTCGCCCAATGAGGTTCAATTGCATGCCACAAAAAAGCGCGGGCAGCGAGAAAAACACGAAGGCGACAACTGCAGCCATGGACACGCACTCAAACACACCAGGCAGCCAGTCAGGGTCGGCGCTGTACCAGAGAGTCAAACCGGCCATCCCTAACACAGTCACGAAGCTAAAGCCAAAATCAATTTCCAAAGCGTGTTGGCGCCGTCTCATGCTTGCGACAGACAGAGCATGCAGCTCGTACCAAGCCTGTATGTCACCGAGGTGCCCGACTCGGATGTAAGGGAGGCACAATGCGCCAGCAGTATGCTTGCCCATGAGCATGATGTTCAAAGCTTTACATGTGCGGATGCTCTGTGAAAACAATTTTAACAGCAGCAGAGGCCTTATCGCAAACACTTGACGGAATTTCTCTGGGAAGCACATGAGCCAGAGCACAGAAACCACTTTGCACCAAATCAAAATTTATCCTGCGGTCTCGCAGAAAATCTGGGGCGAGCAAAACTATGCAAAAAAGCGCCACTGCTAGGCAGGCCCACGCGACATCCAGAAGAACAATCAGGACCAATATAATTAAATTCGGATGGCGTGGCCAGAGGAGTAGTTGCTCTGCCAACACCGAAAGCTCCACCTGGCCATTGGCCACTGACTGCTTGTATTCATGAAAGAAACTGCTGAAATGAGCGGGGAGCTGTGCAGGCCGCTCCATGGCAAGGGTGCTCTGCAAATCTGCAACGCGGCAAAAGCGCCGCACGAAAGATTCATGTGCTGCAAAGCGAAAGAAGTTCAACTGGTCCAGAAACTGAGAAAGCCTGCACAAATTGGGATCCTTGCGATACATGAAAAGGTTGATTCGCCAAACCCAGTGTGGCCCCGGCCTGCGAATCAGCCCCAATACGTCTTCAAGCGTGTCTGTATGGAATTTAAGAATCGGGAACCCACAGACTTCTAGTCTCAGCAATCTCCCTAACTCTGGCAGCCAAAGCTCTCGCCAATCGGAAGCATTGCTGAAATTCACGCCGAACAGTTCTAAAAAATGGGGTCCCAGACGGTCGAAAAGTTTATCACACAGCTCCTCTTCACTGTCTGCTGATTGAACTACCTCTTCGGACACAAGACCGACATCGAAGCAAAACTGCAGCCACATTGGCAAGAAAACCTCTGCAAGGCTCACCTGCATACGGTCAGATCCTGCCAGGAGCCAAGCAATCACGGACAACTTCAAGCATATCTGGCTTATCAAAGCACCCTCTTCCAACTTACCGGGCACAGCTTCCCACATTGTTGGAGTTGTCGATTGCGGCAATGCTTGATTTGAGCTCATCTCGGCTGAACGTGGCGATGGCTCCGGCTTTGTCCATTTGCTTCTGCACTTGGATAAAAGAAATGGCACGGGCAACAATTGCATCCTCACCAAACAGAAGAATATGGAAAAAGCATCTGGCTGGTAGACGTCATTGTGATAATCATCTGGGTCCACAACCACTTGATCTCTCTGACTGTCCTTTGTACCTGCTAGCCGTTCTGTCATTGCGGCCTTGGCCTTGGTCTTGCGTACTGTGCGCTTCTTGACCTGTGACATCTGCGACTCCTGGCCGTTTTTGCCCTTTCAAACACCCAAATAATTGGATCCCAAGTATGCGGATCCCAAAATGGACCCATCATTTTTTGAAACTCTCAGCCCTAATGAATTCCCCAACCACATGTCCTCAGAACACCCTGACGCCTATATTGAGAAGATTTCCCCATGCTTCTGAGAGACCCTCTCCTGACCGCTTTGCTGAGGATGGACAGAAAGGCTGTTGACGGCTTGTCCATCCAAGGCCATGGGCTCGTCTTTGACCATCTCGAGGAGTTGTGATTGGGACCCCTTTCAAGGACCCCAAGAATCAATGGCAACCTCGATAAGGTGAGGGATGCTAGGACAAATGTGATCGAGTTCTTTTTCTTGGGAAGCTGTTCAACTCAAAGACGAGCTTGAAACTGTCAATTGATTCCAATCCTTTCGGGATGTCATGTGTCATTGTTTTGTTAGAGTATGCTCCAGAAATGGCAGCACATCCATGCCTTGCAAGCATCACAGGCATGAACTGTCAGCTTGCCATTTCCTCGTGCCTGAAGTGGCCCATGCAAGTGTCAAAGGACAAGTTGTGGGCCACCTGGGCACACGGCGGCAGGACTATGGACTATCAAGTGCCCAGGCACTAGCTGATGGCTGATGACATGTGCCAAGCTCCAAACTCTTGTATGATATTGCTTCCAGCGCTGACACATGCAACGGAGCCATAGTGCACATCACCCTTGGTACCCACGTTCCCCGTTTACGGATTTGGGAAGCGGCTCAATTGGTACCATGCACCGAGGCTTTGCAGGGTCCTCCGCGTAGTTAGCAGCCCGACCACGGCATTCAGAGCCTCGAGCCTTCACAGGCTCGAGGACATTGGCTCACAAAATACGCCCTTGATGTGGACATGTGCCGAAGTTAAGGCTACTGAATGCCTTCCAAACATGTAAATTGTAGATATGCTGGCCACTTCAAAACGGAACAAGGTTTTGGCACATACTGCAAACTTTATGGTAACACATCTGGGCCCGCCACAATGAGAGAAGGGTACATGCCTCGTGCAGGGAATGGAGGTTTGGATCTGGAGAATCCGTTGTGCAGGGGTGCAGAAGCTAGAAAAATGAAATCATCTTGCACAAAGGCCTGTTTGGAGTACACAGTCGCAGACTCTATGATGTGACATATCCAGAAGCTTCGAGGATGAATATTTGAGGCCGTCCAGCGGAGAACAGGAGCCCGGACTCCGTTCGGAGGCCAGGCACGGTCATGTTCCAGTGCATCCGATTACGACATGCAGGCTCGAAACATAATAGCGTTCATGTTCGATTGCATACGAACAAGCTACGCCCCAATAGTTCAAGGTACGGCCCATCAGTCCAAGCTACGCTCCATTAGTCAAGGGGTGTGAGGGATCCTGATCTTATTTTATCATCGTCCCATTAGTTACATTAGTTCAAGGATTGTTCAGTTTGCCCCCTTAGTTCAAGGGTGTGAGGAGTTCTGATTTAATTGTATCATAGTCCCATTAGTCCAAGCTATGGCCCATTCCATTGTTTTTGCACGTCTATTTGTCACCCGAAATTTCGCCAGTGGACACGACAGCCGATGCAGACTTGCCCATGCGCGCGATGCATGAAGCCCTGCGCATGCCAGTATGTTCAGCATCTCCATTTGCTTCCAAACGCTGCTGAAGCGCTGTTTTCACTGGCAGGTGCAGAGCTTTCTCACACCCCTGCTTTCCACAGTGTTCCAAAACAACCTTGCGCCGAAAAGGCTCTTGCAGTGCGAAACCGACAGATTTTCGAAATGCACGCCAGCCTCGACTACTACCTCCGGTGTGGAACCTGAAAAACATGGCGAGGTTTGTTTGAAAGGCGCGCCAGCAAAAAAAATCCCAAAACCCTCAATGTCCTCAAAGTGCCTGAAAGAGACTGCGCCTGCCAGTGTTTCGAAAATGCTGAAAATCGCTGATTTTCTAAAGGCTGGGCTCCTGTTCTCCGCGGCGTGCAAATCATTTGGCAAGGCATGCGGACATGTCGAGGATAGTTGTACGGGACAGCCCGGGAACATCGTGTCTTTGGACATGCTCTAGGAGCCTATCTGATCAGGATAGGGTTTGGGGACAGATGATACCTAAAGCTTCCTGGGAATGTGTGACTGTCTGAGTCGCCATGAGATGCCGTGAACACTAGAGCATTTAAACCTCCAAGTCGTTTGAGCTGAACATTCGAGACAAAACTACAGAGTACTTCTTTTCAACAGGGCCTCCCGCTCACCAGGTCTCCCGAAGCTACCACATGTCTACACGAAATGGAAGCGCAAGGACGGGATAGCTTGCCGTAGCAAACCCCTGAGCTGTTAAAAGGTTGCCCGGACCAAGCCCGATCAGGAACAACAATGGAGGTGATTCTCAAGCCCTTTGGATTGCTGTCTAAGCTGGTCATCTCATAGTCCTAGAATTGCTTAGAGGTTGCCTGCATCTCCAAGCGCCCAAAGATCGAGCCTCAAGTTGCAACGCCTTTTGAATGCGTACCACACCGGTGTGTATGTGTGTGTTGAAGCCTGTCACAAGATGTCACATGGGATCCTGACGGCGGCCTTACACCATATCCCGGGGTTTAAGATTCCCTGCTTCTCCACACAAGTGGACTAAAGCTGCACATGGCTGCATCCCGAAGACATAAACTCCCTATTTTGATGAATTACTTGCCTGGACAGCCGGCTTTCAAAGCCCCAACTTAGCTGAGTTAGCCCTTGAGCGTTACGTCGCCCACCACGCCTTTGAAGTCCAAAACCAGCACGGGGTCCCAGTAGAAGCCCGAGCATGGCTCCATAACCAGTGGCCTGGGAAGTTTGCAACGCTCCATGTTGATATCATGGGAAGTTCAGTAAGTAGGTTACCCTAAGGACCCTTGAACTGTATGGTGGGTATGACTATCAGGGGATTTGGGCGCCCGTCTTACAGATGATTTTGGGCTACTACTGCTGTCATTTCTCACTCATGTTTGGTATCTGAGAGGTTGGAGTTGACGTGGGACCAGTTGAGAGCCCAGCCGTTGTAGGTATCAGGCTTTACAATGCGCTTCGGATTCCGGCTCCAGGTTCAAGGCTTAAGCATTTGGTATGGAAAAGGGCTGCAGGCCTCGTTTTACAGTTGGAGGGCTTTGTACCCTGGGTTGCATGATCCTGGCCTGCGACAGTATATTAAGCCTCCCATGGCTCCCAAGGAGTACCGCCACTTCATACCCCCTTTTTTTTGGAAGTCTGCACTCGTGAAAGTTCCCCTTCAAAAGGAGGTCTGCTCAACACACGAGAGGCTTCTCACCAGGTAGCTCAGGAATGCACAGCCCAACTCCAAACAGCCAGCCATCTCACAAGGGAGTACTAAGTACAGACCAAGTTCGGCTTCCTTGGGCACTGTACCAGCTTAATACAAAGTCTTTTGAACCTGTTACCTCGGAGCTAGTGCACCAAGGACAGACGGGAGATAAGAGACTTGATTGCTATTGATTAAATTAACTCACCTATGGGTAGATACATAAATAACAGGGGTTCCCTATAACGATCACCTAGCTAAAGTTCCCGT